TGATGCTTCTGCCAGCTTGTTTGATAGGTGACAGAACAGATTATTAAGAGTGAGCTCCTCTTGCTAGCTGCCACGGGCTGGACTGGCGAGGAGAATGTCAAAGTTACCCGCTTCTTCTGACTCTAAGGACATCGGCCACCGGTCAGTAACAGAAAAACAACCGGCTGTGGAGGAAGAGGAACAGGTGGTAGGCTTGGATAGCGGAAGAACTTAGGTGACAGGAGAGAGAATCGGTTAGACGAAAGGGAAAACAGCTGCAAAAGCTGGATGGTGTAGCTAATATAGAAGGAGTTTTGAACTGAGGAGATGCAGGTAAGGCACTCGGCCTGCTTTCATCTCGAGTTTTCCGGAGAAGGAGACAAACCCAAAACGGCCGAGCAAAGAAAAACTCCAAATGGATCAATCTAAAGGGGACTAAACTATACTAAATGATGTGTTTGGCCAAGTCAGGAAGAGGCAAAAAGGTTTCAAATGTGCTGTGAAGCCCAGACCTAAGAAGATCTGAAGAAGAAAACATCTGAATCTGAATTCCTCACATCTGTCTCTGACATCTCCGAGGAGCATTTGAAGACAGGACGAGGCAAAGGGGATGCCCGCTCCGATAGGGACAATGAAAGAGGGATCTGCCACAGGGAGGGAGAGAGCAGGGGGGAGCAGGGTCAGCTCGACAAACAATGTTATTCTCGGTACATTTAACAGCGAGCCCTGCGGGCGACAACAAAAGGCAACCAGCAGGGCCCTTCTGCGTCTAAACGTTGCTAGATCTCTCTCTGGCTGGTTCGAGCGTGCTCGAACAGCACAAAGTCCAAACAATCGGGGGAGGTTTTTTTTTGGCTTTTCATTGTGCTTGGCGGGCAGGCAGGCCCCACTTTTTTTTTTTTTCTAAAGACACAAAGGTCGCGCGGGCCCCCCACGAAAAAGCCGACGCTTTTCACGGCCAAGAAAAGGAGCCTAGAGGTACTGTCCTGCTCGCTCCTCTGGGCTCCAGAACCTGAGCCAGGACAGACAAACCGTGGTCAATCGTCCATTTCTGTGGAGGAGAAATGTTGAAGCTTGGAATATGACAGGGATATATATATATTTTTTTGGCTCGACTACTCACAGATGATCTGACTTGACTCGTTTTAAGCGGGAATGAGGAACACGTGTGGGAAAAGGCTAATTGAACATGCCGGTGAATGAAACCAGCCATGTTAGATGGAGGCCTTGGACTGTTTACAATTCAGTTCAATCATTTTTGCAGTTTTACTCGAAAAAATCAGCCTTGCATTCTGTAATCTCTTCTTTTTTTCTGGCAAGTCAGAGACCAAGGCCTAAAAGAACCGTTTTGCCGATTGAAGAATCATTCAGATGCATCGTGGCCTGAGTGGAATGTTTTTAGTCTCTTCCAAAGTGGATCACAAGTTCATTGTTTGTCCCAGGTGTACTTCAGTTTATGAAAACTGAAAGTTTCTTTTCATCAGTCAGAGGGGGTTCACAGATTTGGATGTTGCAGTTATTTTAAATGCAGGCTGCTGGGTGGGTTTTTCTTTGGTCTGTCACCCTGAACTGTGCCAGACGCTGGCTGGTTGTTTTCCTATTGGCCTTTGGAAGATGTCAATACGAAACAGTAAATAGAGTGAATGGGAAATAGAATTGAAAGCTAAAAAAAAATCAAATATGTTACGAAATCAATACATTTGCTTGTCATTGTTGCTGCCTTTAAAAAAAAAAAAAAAAAAAGGCAAATGAAAATAATTTTTTGAGAAGCCTCTGATTCGGCAAAGACTGAAATGATGTGTCTCACCTGTTGGAAGTCTCTCAACCAACCAACTAACATCTTAAGGATTTTTTTCATGATAAATAAGCACCAAATATTTCTGAAAAACAGATATCTATTGGTCGTCCTGCATGTTGTGTTCACAAAGGAAGTGGAATTTTTCCCTCTGTAATGTTCTGTGATTTTATTAGCTTGCTTAGAAGTGAGAGATTGAAAAAAAATGACTCACATCTTAATGAAACTGTGAGACTTTGTTTTTAATATCTGCAGCTTACACTTATGAGCACGTTAATAGTTGGAAAGCATTGAGACTCCAGCCTACATCTTAACCACAGTTATTTTTATTTATTATTAAAGTTGACATTCAACTGTCAACACAGTAGACATTCTTGATTTAAAAAGAATTGATTGAATATAATATAATATAATGTGAATTAACAAGGAAGTGTAATTGTTCAGGAGCTCTGAAGAAATTCATGTGTAAAAAAAGGAACAAAGTAATACTTAAGTTGATATTATGTTAATATTAGTTGGTTAAATTTTGATAGCAAAAAGAGGAAACATGAAATCTCTTCGGCCGTGTGGATCCCAATCCCAGGGCCCTAACTGATCTGTGTTTCCTGCAGGTTTCCCAAGGGGACGCTACTGAGAAGCTGGCTCACCAAGTCGCGGCCCAGGTTGCTGCTGCTGATCGCAGGGTTGAAGAGGCCCCAGGTGACCCTCATGAGGAGGAAAAGGATGAAGCGCACAAAAGTAGCAAAGGCCACGTAAGCGGTAAATAAGGCTTATGTTGCATGGAGGAATGCTAAACCCCAGCACCAACGGAGGCGGGAATTTGGAAGGGGGAGCGATCTCTTTCTTTAACAATTTGCACAATTTGATTTCGAGCGTCGTGCGTCAACGATGATATCATAGAAAAATCTGACTGCATTTGTTGGCCTCTCAAGCTGAACGAATACATCTCAGCAAGTGCTTAAAATGTCCAAAAGATAATGAACTGATTGGCAAACTGAGTCAACTATGACTCTGATTTAGAAACTGAAGAAAAATGTGGTTTTTCGGATTCGTGTGAATTCTGCACAGCAGCAAAAATGAGTGTCTCCTCCTTCTTTCTGAACTTTTAACGTTAATAACTTCTAATAGGAGCTTAAACACTCCATATATGAGGATCATTCAATTCTTCTCATCATCATTGAGTTCATTTATATGATCAGAGCAAAGCTGAAAGAGTAAGCAGGACCAAAGGGAAATATTTCAATTCTGTTAAACTTTCTTAATGAAGCTTAATGAAAGATGCTTGATTGAAATATTTTTGCTTGGTTACCACTTTATGTTATGTTGTGGAACCAAGATCAATGCGGCTAACTACCACCTACAAATATTTCATAATGGATGCTATTGAGGTAGCGCTTTCATTCGTGTTCATGGGTTTTGGTGTTCAGCATGTGGTTGTTAAAGACAAGAACACAGTTTTTTTTGTCCGTCTGTGTCACGGTGAACTAAAGAGGTCTTGGCCGAATGAGACAAAACTGACGTGGACCATCAAATGTTCCATCTTTTTTTCCTACAGAACCTGCAGCCGAATGCCCCACTTCACCTGAGTCCTTAGCAGAGGCCACCTGCTCGTTAGACATGGAGGACAAAGAAAAGGAGGACCTGTGTGTAGCATCACTGCTCCGTAAAAGAACTAAAATCCGCGAACCGAAAACCAGATCCGAGCTGGAAAACGAACCACAGAGATTGAGACCTCCAGATTAATCAGAATGCACTGTCTCCTGGATGCTTTCCTTTCAAATCCACACACGTTTTGACCTAACAGACCGTAACGACTGTGGCTTTGTACATCATTCCTAACCCATCAGAAGGCGTTGGTCAAACAAAGCTTGCTGTAAAACAAGTATGTTCATAGTTCTAAGCTGCAAGTTTGAGTCTCGGATGAGCTCAGACCCAGCCGCTCATTAAACTCAGCCTTTTCCAGCCTCACATTCTTCTGTCGGATTCAGACGTTTTCTCACTTTCATGCAAAGCTTCACAAGCAACATTCAAACCTCAGCACATATGAGCGAACATGGATACAAAACGGTAGCAAAATTTCCAGTAAAATAAAAAAAAAGAGCATTTAATTGAAGCTCATTTAACAAGACATACCTTCATTTCTGTGCCGTTTTCCATATGACAAAGAAATATCCATTTCTTTGTCATATATTATTCATCACTCCATAGATATAACTCAATGGATAGATTAATTTATTATGACAGGGCAAGGGGGGGGAAAGAAAATGGATAATACCTGATTTGTTAACCCCATTTGCTTTGATAATTCAGATAAAGAACTTACATAATACATGACACCTAACATCTAGTTTCCCTCATAAATGGGCCATGTGTGGCTGCTCATTGTAGGAGACTCATAACTGCTACATTAGGATGAAATGGGACATGAGAACCTTCATTTTGTGGATTTAAATCCAGGATCACTAGACCGGCTTTTAGTTTAGTTAGTAAAATAAACAACACCTTTTATAGTAAATGTGCTTCATCCTCACAATAACATGCTATTTGGAAATGTTCCAATAAATGCTTTAAGTGGAACTCAGTCTGCACGTCTCCCTTTTTTAAATACATGGTTTAGTAAATAACTTTTAGGAGGAGCTCTTAAATAGGGTTCGGTGGCTCTTAAAAGAGCCTTTTTTTTTGCGCTTGCGCAGCCCGGAAGGCTTAAGCCCTCTCACCGCGGATGCGGCGGGCCAGCTGGATGTCTTTGGGCATGATGGTGACCCTCTTGGCGTGGATGGCGCACAGGTTGGTGTCCTCGAACAGCCCCACGAGGTAGGCCTCGCTGGCCTCCTGCAGGGCCATGACGGCGGAGCTCTGGAAGCGCAGGTCGGTCTTGAAGTCCTGCGCGATCTCCCTGACCAGCCGCTGGAAGGGCAGCTTGCGGATGAGCAGCTCGGTGGACTTCTGGTAGCGGCGGATCTCCCTCAGGGCCACGGTTCCGGGCCTGTAACGGTGAGGCTTCTTCACGCCGCCGGTGGCCGGCGCGCTCTTGCGGGCGGCCTTGGTGGCCAGCTGCTTCCTGGGGGCCTTGCCTCCGGTGGACTTACGGGCGGTCTGCTTGGTCCTGGCCATTGTCTGTTGCTTCTACTTTCTCCCTAAAAAGTGGATATGACCGTTGCAAGGGGACGTCCCGGCTTTAAATCCGGCGGAGCCGTGACGCAGCGTCGGAACTCCGGGCTCCTGATTGGAGAGCGGCTCCTCCAGCTGCTCCTCCTGCAGCCGGGCCCCGCCTAGAATAGCCCAGCTCCGCCTAGAGGAGCCCAGATCCCGCCCGAAGGAGCAATGCGCATTGGAGGAGAGCCCCTTCTCAAAGTTTGCGCGTAAATTCAAAGCTGTGCGCCCCCACCGCTGCTCGCCTGGAAGCCTGTTTCCTGGTTGGTTGGTCCTTCCGGATCCGTCCCGCGCTCTCAGACATATAAAGAAGGGAGTGAACGATCCCTGATACATTTTCTCTGAGTTCTAACTCAAGTACAGAGACCAGAAACATGAGCGGAAGAGGCAAAACCGGAGGAAAGGCCAGAGCCAAGGCCAAGACCCGCTCCTCCCGTGCGGGGCTCCAGTTCCCCGTGGGCCGCGTGCACAGGCTGCTGCGTAAAGGAAACTACGCGCAGCGCGTGGGCGCCGGCGCCCCCGTGTACCTGGCGGCCGTCCTGGAGTACCTGACCGCCGAGATCCTGGAGCTGGCCGGCAACGCGGCCCGCGACAACAAGAAGACCAGGATCATCCCGCGCCACCTGCAGCTGGCCGTGCGCAACGACGAGGAGCTCAACAAGCTGCTGGGGGGGGTCACCATCGCCCAGGGCGGCGTGCTGCCCAACATCCAGGCCGTGCTGCTGCCCAAGAAGACCGAGAAGCCCGCCAAGTCCAAGTAAAAACGGTCTAATGGACACCCAAACGGCTCTTTTAAGAGCCACACACTTCCCACAACGAGCTCTGGTTCCTTGATTCGTTTAATTTAATTCAAATGTTATTTGCACTAGTTTGGCCACCAAAGTTAGGCTTTTATAAGACTTGATTTGCTCTAAGGTGAAGGTAGGATAGATAATAGATTTATTTTTGCATGAGAACGTGGTTTAAGGATCAGGACTGTTTGTATTGTGCGTTTTTTAGAGAAAGAAAACAATTAAATCTGGATATTTCTGGGTTGCTGTTCTGCAGGTTTTAGATGTTTTCTGCACATTTACACTTTAGAGCAGAACTGAACAATGTTTTGAAGAGATCTGCTCAATCTAAGCCGGACAACGCAGCGTTTGGCCCCCAAACGTCTCACGTTTGCGCCATTCGTGGTTCCAGCCGTGGGTCGGTGGGCGGCGCTCTGCTGAAAAGTGTAATTCTAAGGAGCCCGCCTCTGTCTTCAACCACGTCGTCAGATGGCAGAAACCCACAGCCCTCCCCGGCCAAAGTCTAATGTCCCACTTCCGTAAAAATGATGATCCATTAATCCGTTTTAGTCCAACCGGGATCGTTCTTACTGTTACCCAGCACATTTCTGAAGACCACAATAAATCCACCCCATAAGAGTAACAGAACTCGATTCAGTAGGAAAAGAAAAGTGTACTTTGATGGATGTTTAATTGTTTGTGTGTATATATTTCTTATGCATTTGTAACGTTTAAATTAGGAACTTTATATTTGAGAGCTTTTAAATGCACACTGGCAAGGGGTGAACCTTTCTTTGAGGTCTCTGGGGAAAACGATTTAACATAGAAAATTGAACTATCCTTTTCAATCTGAAAATGAAGATATTTGTAATACAAGATTATTTTTTAGGATATTTAATCTGACATACAAGAATGGGCTCAATATTAAAGGTCTTTCACTCAGAAAGTGAAATTGATCTTGTTTTCCTTCTTGTTATTGTAAGTATGATTATAGGAAATGCAGATATATCTGAATTGACCATAATTGATTAAGGTTTTAATCCAGATCGCTACAATAGACTCTATATTGTATAAAGAATAATGATCAGAAAAGAAATGTAGTACATTTTCTCTGTTGTAAGTGGTCACATTTCTAAACATTGACAAATATAATTGTTATATGGACAACCACACAGACAACCACCTGGAATCATTTTTCAAAAGTGTGCAAACTGTCCATCAATGAGCCAGTTTTCAGTTTTTTTAAAGGATGCTGTTCATTTGACAGCTTTTATTAGATGTTCTGTTGTTTTTAAGAGAAGCTTTACAGCCTCTACGTCTGAAACTGAGAGCTCTATGGTTTCAATAGTTGAGTTGATTTTTCTAAATGGCTACATCAATGATCTTGAGTGTGGGTGGTTTTTGGACAGATGATGAGCTCAGCGGACCAAGTACATATCGCTGCAGGGCCTTTTGGACGTCCAACTTCACCCATCCAAGACAGTCGGCCATTTTGATGACAGACTTCTCCAGCGGACCGGTTTGGGAACACCCAGTTTTCTTTATCATTTATCATTACACGCAAAATCTACCAAATTGTTCAGCTTAACCGTCCATAGTAAAGAGAGTAACAGATATGGGTAGTGCAATAAGCAAGCTGGTTTAATTTTTAATTAAATACACAGCTCAGAAAACAACAAAAAACGCCACCATGCAAAATGATTCATGATTTTATACAATCTTCCCATGCATTTATTACAATCCAATTCATGGCTCCTGTTGTGGTCCCTTCCTCCATTGGGCAAGAGCCATGGTGTCTGTATTTTGTCATGTATAAAGACAATAAAGAGACGGATTTGGTCGTATTGCTACAGGAAGCGTCAACGAGCCAAACAGGAAAACGCCTCAAAACTCAGTGTTTTGTCCTCTTGATTTCAGCAGTGTTCGATAGAAAATGCTCCGGAGTCGCTGGATTTGAAATTGGTTTGTCTGAGTGACAGCTGAGAGCGATAAAAGCCATTGCTGTGGGAGTCCAGCGGGCTGTCTGACACCTACAGATAAACACAGAAGAGAGGGAGAAAATAGAGATCATATCTTTAAATATATTTTCACATAATCTCAATTTCAGCTCCAATCCAACAGTTTAATAAAATTGTACTTTAACTATTCTTTTCCAATCAAACGAATGATAAATTTGGACAATTTAGTCATCATTATTA